CTTCCTCTTCTCATTTTTTATTTCATAAGTCCTCATGGTTGTATGGCAACGAAGCATCAGTTCAAATGGCTGATGTACTGCTGTTGATGATGATGATGACGATATTCCATTAACTCGCACACCTCGCTTAAGCCAATTGTAATCAATTTCCATAACATTTTTGTGTTCGTGACATTTCCGTAAAGTATACTTCCTGACCTCGTGAACTTATCTAGGCTTCATTTGTAAGCAACCTATTCCATATGCTCATTAACTTAAGGTTTATGTCAACGTTTCCTTATGCATTAATCGAGTTATTTTCTTTTTATCTCCCTCTCAAGTGATTGGCTGTTGTTTGATATCCCCGGTGTGGCTGCGCTTGCTGTGCATGTTGACAAGGTGCCTACCTGTCTATTACCCACTACGTCGTCCATACTGGCTCCAGGAGACATTTGGTCGTTGCTGGAGGGGACGGGGTGCACGGTCCTTGTGGCCGTGTTGGGATCAAAGACTGGTCCCATGTACTCAGTGTGGAGCGGACTACGGTCCAGCCACGGGCTTGTTTGCTTGATTCCCAAATACAGCGTGATTGTGTTTACTTTGAGGGAGTGTGGGCCGGCTCCGTTGATGAAACGTGGCTCCCATCCGCATGCCTCCCGGTCTTATTCCTTCGGGTTTACACTGGATATGAGGTATGTGGTTGGAGCTGTGGGTGGTGCAGCGCAAGCCATCCATGGTCCCTTTGTAGGCGCAGGCGTCCTGTGGCTTGCCACAGTGACAGGCAAATCCGAAACCGGATGCCGCCAAGCATATATATATATATATATATATATATATATATATATATATATATATGCATGTAATCACTCTTCGAGCCTAACACGGCCACAAGGACCGTGCACCCCGTCCCCTCCAGCAACGACCATCTTGTCAACCTGCACATCCAGCGCAGCCCTACCGGGGATATCAAGCAACAGCCAATCATTTGAAACGACAAGATGAACTATAGTAAATCGGAGAATGCATACAGATATGGCGGCATAACTCTTCAATAAATGGGCGTGGAAAATAAACTGGTTACGAACGAAACTTCGATAAGTTATAGAGGTGCGAAGATATATTTCAAGAAAATGCCAGGAACTCGAAAATGTTATCGAAATTAACTACAATTAGCTTCAGCGACGTGTGCAAGATTATAGAAGACAGTACAGGTAGGCATTAATATGAGAAAGATAAGCATTAGGACAAACTTGCAAACGCACCACCTGAAATAATGAGACCCAGTATGTAAGCACACGGTTAGTAAATCGAATGCAGCATATCTACAAACGCCGCGCCGGTTCTGCCTAGGTTCTCTGCAGGACCCGTCGTCGCTTCGGTGGTGATCCCGAGTGGCCTCGCTCATTGCTCACTAGGCCTGCCTGATTCAGGCACTGGCGACCGCATGTGCTACAGCACCATGCGCTCGATGTCGATGGAGTACAACCCATCGGTGCTTGCCGCTTCTTCT